AGAGCCAGCTGGCCCTAGCGAGAATACGGCTCCACTTAAGTTGTGGACCACTTAAGCATTAAACTCGCGAAACTCTAGACCACACTAAGCTCGTGTTGGTTAACAGAGTTAAATTTAAATTACTCAAATTAACTCAAGAAGCTAGAGTCGCTCTCGGCTATCGCCTCGAGCGACTCTTACGCTTCTTTCGTGCTTAGCAACCTCCCGCGTGCATCCATAACTCAATAATGTACGCTGTGGTGTTTACCATTTGTTAAATAGTGGAACCTCAATTTAACGAACCTCTATAAAACGAAGTCCTCGGTATAACGAACGATACTTCAGTTTCAGCCCAGCCAAAGTTACAGTAAAATGTATACAACAGAACGTCGATATAACGAACCCTTGATATAACGAACCAATTTCCACAGTCCCTTGCCACTTCTTAAAATCGAGATTCCACTGTATTAAGTAGTAGTGTCCTCTACAAACGATAAATTTAAGTCATTGAATAACTTCTCTTGTCCTCATTTATAAAGTTGCTATTATACATACACACAGCATCAGGAGGGGGTCTGTTTCTCTGTCAGTCTAGCCCAAACTTTGATTCAGAAAACACAGACAATTTTTCTGCACCATAGCAAAAGTAGGCTAATACATATCTCAAGGCATGTAAGTTTTAAATACTACGTATTGAGTAGTAAGTTGTGATCCTGTAGTTGCAAGAATTTGGTGTCAGACGAGTGTTAAAAAAACCCACATGTGGAGGGGTGGAGGGAAGGGGGGTCTGACCCCCATGACCTTTCCCTTTGGATCCACCCCCAAGCATTGTGATTATTATGTGTTCGTAGTACATGTGCCTCAAAAATATGTTTTGTGTCTGGAAAAAAGGAGTATTGTCTACAAAATAGACGAAAAAGTAATTTGCGAACAAAAATTTCGTGCAATTGTTTCAAACTAAGTGTAATTTTGACTTTTTATTGTCAGATTCCAGACATATCCCCGTCTTTGTCACATTACTAATCAATCAAAAAAACCAAGATCTTCGTCTCAGGATTCTGAAACTAATGTCCGCCATCATAGCGTCCAATAAGGTCCCTGAGGGGAACAGAAGCTATTGGCATTTAAGGCCTATTGGGCTCTCTGCGGTGACAAAGCTCCTCGCAGATGACGTCTCTAAGCCCCTTATAAAAAGTCTCCTCCAGCTGGGTGTGTCAGAGCATGACGAGAACAAAGGCGTTGACGTCTTGATGCATTATCACGTGGTACTGGCTGTGTTGGAACTGATTGAAAATGGGGATCTGGAAACGAAGACTTTTGTGAGTCACATGGTAGGGAAGGTTAATCTTTGTTCATGGAAAATCGATATTAGCATCCATTATCTGTCAGTGGTCAGTGGCAATTAACTGATTTCAAAGAAATTCCCAGTACTGACAACTTTTATGGTTCTTATTATGTTTATTTTTTTCGGGGGGGGGGGAGGGGGGAGGATGGAACGATGGGTTTAGAGCAACTGCTCCGTTGGTGAAATCGTGCTGCCACGAATTAGTTGGTGGTGACGGGTTTAAAACCACCGAAAACTTTATCCTCTCCAGGTTTTAGAGACAAGGGATGGGTTGATAATTAAACAACTGACATTAACCTCCAACACGTACGTAGACGATGGAATGGGTCAATCTCGATTAACATAGGCGCAAATTGTACATTAAACGAGGGAATGTAGCTTTTGGTAAAGTCAACATCACTGTAGTGCACCTGTTGTGTCATAATTTTGTGATCGTATACACAAGTATGGCCACAAATGTATAGTATTACAGTAGTTCTGTGTCGGTGTTAAGCATTATTTTGAAGTAAAATTCATTGTTTATTTCAGATTTTACGATCAATCGATGCCAACGCCCTCAGCATGTCACGGTGTGCTAAGGAATTTGGGTGGCATGTTACGTTGCTCAGGATGATTACGGGCCCATTCGGCGCGCCTCGGGGTATCAGTGTCTCGAAAGAAAAGGACATTAGTGTTCTGGAAGAAAAGAAAAGAGGCGAGGAAGATTTGATCGAAACTGTGCTCGAAATCGTGTTTCGAGTGATGTGGAAAGGGGTTGAAGGCTTTGGAGAAAGCGATTGGAAGGTAAAATGTATATTTTGAAAAATTGTTTTTGTATCGATGTCATGCAAATATACTCACGAATCTGAGCTAATGAGCTTAAGGCCATCAAAGCTTTTTACCTGGTCTATTAATTGAAAAGTAATACCGTTTGCTCAGAATGTTCGCGCGCTTATTCTCCTGATTACATGATTTTTATGTACAGTGCAGGATGCGCAGTTCAACACTGAGGCATCACCTTATGCATAAATTAAACGTCTAACAGACCTGAAAAATGAGTGGGTGAGTGAGTGAATTTTGGATCCATACCTAAACCTCACGGTAAGACTGACATTAACCATGAATTAAAAACGATATTTCTACCATATGACGTTCTCGCTGCCCCGGGTGACTTCATCTTTCGAGATGTCATGTCTCTCTTGCTGGGAATCTTCCCCCCTGTAGTGAATTGTTACCTTCCTTTTAATATTATATTTAATATTAAGTTATTATTATTATTATTATTGTTATTATGATTATTATTCTATTAAATATTAATATTAAATTATTCCTTCCTTAGGTTCGGGGTCAAGCCATAGCCGCAGTGAGTCTCATTTCCTCAGCGGAGTCCTTCTTGGTCCCTCATCGTATTATCGAGAGGCGCCTTCTGGAGCTTTGTCTGCAGGTGGCCGTGCAAGATATCGAGGTGTCCGGACAGACAGGTGAATCTGAGACCCAGAATGCACTGATGGTCATGCGTTTGGTGGAAGACTTCATCTTTACGCCAGGTAATTCGTCAGCTTAAAAATGGGATGTGTTGGCGAGCTAAACCTGCTCGAGTGTATCCAGGTTTCCATAGTATGAAATGACTAGAAATATTGGTGTTTCTGTTGGTTAAGATGCAAATGCCAGAATACTCTTCCTTGTTTCCACGTTATGCCTACTTTTCACACTTGTTTTTTGGCGCTTTTCAAAACTGTACCAATTCATGATTCACTGGATCTCGTAATGCGTCTGATTCAGACAACTGTATTGGCTAAGCCTTTTAAGCTTTTATGAAACTAAAGTTTTACAAGTTGCTCAAAGACAAAACTTGGACGCCTGGGTTCTGCTAGAGCACTGCCCTCTCTCCTTCTACCGAACTACAGATCCTCTTATGGACGCTTTATTTCACAGTTTTGTTTCTTATAATATTCTTCAGCTGCCATTGCTGGAGCGGGATCAGACAACGAATCGGAGACATGGAGTGTAAAGGTATAGTTTACTCTTATAGATAAAATTTTTTTGCCTGTATCTTTTTAGCTCTAGGATCTGCTTGTGAATTCTCTGCTACAAATACTCTTGAAAATCAGTTACGAGAAATTAGTGTCATCTCTTGATAGCAATAATAATAATAATTTAATATTTATATTGCGCAAATTAACATGTGGATATGATCAAATGCGCATCACAACACTTTTCGGGGGACTTTGGCCGGACTGTATCAGCAGTTTACAAACAATCGAAGGAAACTTATTTGAAGATGCCCCCTCCCCCCCAATTCCCAGTAACCGATAAGTTTGAGCATTCTCATTACCTGTTTGCCAGATAATGTATGGATTTTATTGGGAGAAGTTATATGTTGATCTCTTTCTCTTTTGTTAGCTTGTTGAGAATGTCGTACTCCTTCTTGAAGTACTAAACGTCTGGGACGAGAATGAAGAAAATGTGGAATGGGAAGAAATGTCTCAAGTTGGAGTGAGGATTCTCTTGGCTTTCATTTCTCGGCCGGAAACAGAATACTGCGCTACAGCTTCCTCCAAACTCAGCAAGCTTCTCAAGGCCCGGATGACTTCGTCTCAAGGAGAGCTGTGCTACATTTTAGGACGACTACATCAAGCATTTGTTGCATCACGAGTTAAAGGTGTGATTACGAAAAATTAACGATTAAATGAGAATCAATTTTTTTTCTGTTTAAGGATAATACTTACTAGTTTTCATTTGAAAGGTCAAACATGAAAGTTTCATCAACAGATTTAAAAGTTGGAACCACCTTGTACAGATTTTTTAAACTTTGACAATGTTTCCGACATTTTAGGTGACAGTGAAAATTTTTCGTTCATCATTCCCGTCATCCGTCTGTTGCTTTTAAAGTATCACCACACTCTACCGCTGACCATCTATATACCCACATTCTCAACCACTGACCGCGCACAAATACATGCTCAAGAGGATTTCCTTCAGATGATAGAGTCTGATGAATTCAAAGCGATGATGAAACAACAGATCTATCCAGGAATGAAACAATATGACAATACATTGTAAGTAATGCTTAGCCTAGTAAATAGTTAATTCAAGATATTTCAGATGAAGGCTCTACACTCATCTTTTACTGACATTTAAGAGTATCCCCGGTTTCCACTCTTCCCTCAGAAAGGGAATCACATTCTGCTCGGGACCCCCTTTTCTCAACCACGCCCTAGCCGGGGTAATGGAACTTAGGGGAGAGAGGGAAGAAAGAGGAGGCTTGAGTGAATTGTAGCCTGGGAAAAGAAGAGAAAACTGGAATTTTCTACGAATTTCTACGGTAGAACTCTCGTTGTATAGTCTGTTGCAGGTATTCGTTTGAAAATAGTAGTTCTGAGCAAAAGAAGGAAGGAATAAGGTTTTGGACGGGTTGGCTGCCACGGGTTTGGACGGGTTGACAGGAAAGTATAAACCATTGATACAGTATTAAAAGGAGTTTGTAATCACTGACTTTTAAAACTGATTAGTGTGTTTGATCAGAAGACAAAACTGTGAAATCTCACTCAAGAAATATTACCCTTCCTTTTCGAAATCGTTCTCATCGAGGAACGACTCTCCACTCTGGTCGCCGTTATATCTCATTCATTCATAACATCAGATTGAGGTCACCCTTTGCGCATATCTCGAAGAAACGGACTTGTGTTTGGGAAAATACTTATAAATAGCTTTGGTAAGAGTGTCCAAAGGCTAGGACAAGGAGCTTCTCTCCCTCCCTTCCCCCACATTTTATCTCGGTGTCTAAGATTCCTTTCCGCATCATGACTGTTCCTCACGATTTTTTTTTCTTCGTTTACTGATATCTGTTTTCCGTGAGCGACCTTCTGTATTCTTTTCCTCTTTCTTATAGCTCAGAGTCGTCTCTAGCCTCAGGTCGTTTTTGGATGGATTGTCTGACAGGACTCACAGAGAGCTTAAGAAAAAAAGAAAGAGCACAGGACGAAAGCTGCGAGAAATTTGAAGAGCAGATAACCGCACCATTCAAACAATTTCAAGAATCACAGAGAGAACACATCAAAAACTTACCCAAACAACAAGAACAAGAAAAGGAAAGTGTGGCAAGGCAATGGAAAGGTTTGAAAAGAATGTTAACCTCTGAAAGATCCCCGTGGGGTGCCAGGTGAGGAAAATGAAATTACCAGCTCGGGAAATACTCTAAACAAACTTTGGCTTTCTAAGTAACCCAGGTTTTACAACATTATGTAACACCTGCGCTGTTTTGCCAACTGACCACGTGCAAAACTAAAATCAACCCTTGTAATCATTCGATCATCGAGCCACAATGAGAGACAAAAGGAGTTTGCATGCCTTTACATTACTAAGTGGTCGACAATGCTCCATGGAACATAATAAACAGAAATCTTGCATTTCATTTCTAGTATGATACATAAAAGTCCTCCGAAACAGTGTTGACACAAATAAGTGAGTATTTTGTTATCACCAGGCAACACTGAAATGGGGAGAGGGGGAGATAAATGAAAGTTATAGGAAAAAAATTTAAAAAGTGAAAAAGGAATAAAGCGTACGAAGACTTTTGCCAGTCATTGTAGTTCGTCTTGCCTTTCATTGACCACTTTGTTTATTTGATATTGAACAGCGGTATTTCTCTCTTGCCACCGACTTGTTAATTTTGCCATCTATATGTATCGTTTTTCCAGTTTATTTCATTTCAACATTTTTGTTCTGTCTTAGGTCACCAAAGGAAATACATTGGAAACTCTCCACCACAGAGAACTTTCAACGCATGCGCCTTAAACTAGCACAAAACTGCTCATTTACACCGCATATCGAGGCAAGCCGCGCGCGTGACAATGCGGATGTGGTGGATTCTCGCGAGGCCTCAGTGCCCGTGCGTGTTGCTAAAGAGGCCGTTGTTCAAAATGTCGACGAGGACATACTTGAAGTTGATGACATCGGAAGCCCCACAGGCAGAGAGAAGGTTCGCACGATTTCCGAAACGGAAAGACCGCTTTTAGGTGAAGCTTGCGAATTGATTACCCTCATGGATATTGTGCCGGGCAAACTTGAAATCACCACTACGCATGTCTACTTCTATGCGGATGAGATCGCTGGTCAGGATTTCCAGTGGCCGCTGAATGAGCTGAGAGAAGTTCATCTAAGACGACACAATCTGAGAAGGAGCGCGTTGGAGTTCTTTTTGATGGATCAGACGAACTATTTCTTGAATTTCACCAAGGAGGTATTTTCAGTAGTATTTTGACATTTCTGCGTTTGAGGGTATGCTAAACTTTAAAACTTAAAACTTTCAGGGACTGAAACTGTAGGGAATTTACTCTGAAGTTTAGTCGTTACAACTGCATTAGAACTTAATTGCAGCAACATAAATTCCAATTTGATCCTGTGGATGTGCTCCTTTTTAAATCTAATATTATTTGATTTACAAAAAACATTCATTTATTGTTTAGACTCGCAACAAAGTGTACAAGAGGATAATGTCCTTGCGGCCTCGGAATTTGTACTATATGGGCGCCAAATCTCCTGCGGACCTGCTCACGGCCTCGGGGCTCACAGATAAGTGGGTGCACCGAGAAGTATCCAATTTTGAGTACCTTATGCAGCTCAACACCATCGCTGGAAGGACTTATAATGACCTGAGCCAGTATCCAGTATTTCCTTGGGTCCTTAGAGACTATGAGTCAGAGGAGTTACGCCTGGACGACCCTTCTGTATATAGGGACCTTTCCAAACCTGTTGGGGCTTTGAATCCTAATCGCGTGGAATCTTTACGAGAAAGGTAACATATTTGCCACTCTATAAAAGAGAGGTGTGGTGGCAGGTGGCCTAGGCGTCGGACCGCGGATCGAAAGATCTGGGCTTGCCTCCTGAGTTTCGGTCCTTGTGTAGTGTTTTCGGGCAAGGGGCCTTTCCTAGTCTCAACCCCTGGTATGGGGAGGGGGTGGGGGGGGCTTGAAAAGCTCTGATCACGTTTCCCCCAGAATGTAAAAGATTACCTGAAAATAAGGTCGATATGAGGGATGTAGAGTTTGCTCCTCTCTTGCAGACATCCATGATAAATATGGTTTCCCAATCAAAGCATTAGAAGACGCAGTTTACCCTCACTGTTCCCACCCCTCCCAGAGTATAAAATGAGTAGTGGTAAAATGTTAAGGAGACTTGGCAAATAAATGGGGCAGGGGTAGGGAGGCAATTTGTCACGGACTAACATCTCATACAAGGGGAGTACTAATACTCCATGTTACCTTCAACCCCTGACAGTGATCACTTGTAATTTCTCCCAGCTGTATCGCCCTTGAATCGAATGTAAAGGTCGTGAGAATATGAGAAATGATCACCAATTTAAGAAGCTCCTTGTCCGTATCACAGTAAATGTAAAGAGGTCAATGTCGAGAATATGGATTTTGATGTTCGCGTTAAGCTAATGAAACGGAGGAAAGCCCCAAGAGTAAAAACTCGCAAATGTGGCCAAAAATCGAACATTTTCAAAATATTGTGACGACAGCCAAAAAATCGATTCGGCTCATATTCTCAAGTTAGGTAGGCCTTATGGTGAAACAAAGCACTGCATACTTCGTTTGGCTAAATATCGACTTATTTTGGAGAAAATCGATAACTGAATTTCGCCAAAATGCCGCTTTTGAAGCTCAAAATTTCAAACGAATCTTGGAGCGTCGCGCCACGAACTGAAACCACTTGGACCGATAAAAAGTACCAAATCTTGAAAAACAACTTCAATACATGTGTTGACGGCAATTTGAGCAATTCTTCATCATTCATTTACACAATCTAATTGAATTTATCCGACCCTCTTCTAACAAGATCAAAAATAGGTCAAAAGTAACGTTATTTAACTATGTGGTAAATAACATAATCGACTGAAAATCTGGCTTTTGGAAGGCGACGTGTGGTTCTTTTCGATCTCCAAAGGATTTTTGGGGTAATGATTTTGTGCGATTTAATCAAATTTTAAAGTTGGGTAAATTAAGCTGATTTGAAGGTGCCGTCAGTTATTCGAAAATGTACACAGTCACACGCAAACTCAATTGTTTCGCATTTTACGTCCAGTCTACAGCTTATTTAACATAATATCATCTTACCGTTTATATTGCTGTATCACAAAAGGTGATTGCAGTCCTGAAATTGTTGCATCGCTCCCATAATAGCGATATAACTTGGCAGGATCTTGATAACGAGTGTTTACAAAGCGTATCACGGGGTTTCACCATTTCCATTTCGTTGAGAAGGAGGCTGTAATTACTTCACGTAAGAGATCTTTGTTTAAGTATAGTCTTCAACCAAACCGCGAACCAAACGTTCGCGGAATTAATGTTGCTTGTTCAGAAGCATGTTACTCGTGTGCGGAATAACGCTAATTAATTCAAAATGAGGTCCACTGAAATCGACAACTCCGCAAAAATACAACATTGGACTGTGAGGCACGTGGCTACTGGAAGTATGGTCGAGTGTTACATATAGGAAACACGAGCAAACAATTATTTAACTCCAATCGTTATTGAGTTAAATTTTTATTTAGTGAATTATTATTTCGTTTGATAAAGCTCATTTTAGGACAAAAAGAACGAAAGGTAAACCTAGTTCGGTGATTACATGTAAAACCACTGTCTGCTACAATATTACCGTATTTTACTGTTGATAAGATTTCAACTTCCCTGCACTCTTACTTAATTTTTCTTCGGTTGACGGTATGTTGTTTTCAACATGAGTTATAGTCAAACCTATTTAATGAAATTCAGAGGGGTGTTTTTATCGTTAATCGCTGATACCACACAGAGTATCTATAAACACTTGGGGCTTTGTGTGAGAAGGAACCGGTCGACATGACAATTGCCTTGAATATAGGTCATGATTTTAAATGACTTATAAGTATTTTTTTAAGACGCTGAAAGATTGAATCGTATTTGTTTTCTCTTCCTTATTATTTTAATCGCTATAGATTGTTTGATTAATTACAGGAATTACCTTGAAACTGCATAAAACGAACTGCATGCAGAGAAAATATTTGAACTCTGCAACAGCAGTGCGTGTCGTTCTTCTTATAAGGATATCTGCTGCTCGTTCAAAACTACGGTAAGAATGCACTGTGACTTTGACAAACGATCCAGAAAACGGGAAACAGTAATTATACCTCTTCTTGCTTGTTTAAGGTGGATTGAGAGCCATTCCACTTGTCTTGGTTTTCCGGGCCAAAAGACGAAGTTGACCTAATTCTTAGCCAAGCAACCATATTCTCTCCTCCTGTTAACATACATAACATGACAATTTGTCGCTCGCCTAGTGTAAAGCTTGGTTTGGGGAAGACGAGAGGCTCTAAGTTCGAGGCGCCGAGTTCCTTTTGATATATATCAAACCATGTTCAATAATATATCGCCATATAAAGCATTGATTGGCTTTGGACTTCGATAAGAAGTAGTCATTCACTTCTTAAATTTATCATCTAAGAAGGAAATATTAAGGAGATAGGCAAAACATGGGTCTGTTTACTTTCTTTATTCTTTTTAAATCTGGATGTCAGTCTTTTTCCAATGGGCGTGAACATTCTGGTCTGACCAGTCAACAGGCTTATGTTAAATTTGTCCTTACGCATCAGCTACGCTCTATGATATTTCGCCATATAATGCATTGATGGCTTTGAACCCGACCATATTTGAGGGGGATGGATCACTGCTTACGTGGCTACCTTCTTGGGAAAGAATACTAAATAACTAACTAGTTGAGTTAATTTTTCAAAGGCACTGTTTCCAAAATGCAAGTACCGTATTTGACTGATGTAGGTCTACCAACTCGCACTCGAGTCTGCTGTATCAGCTGGTGCAATGATTACTCGAAGCGTTTCTTGAGTTCTGAGATACGCAGGAATGGTTTCATTTCCAGGCGTGAGTTTTTTTTTTTTTTGGACCACTACCGGGAAAAGATGAGTGTGAATAATGTGAACGTGTGCTACCTGGGTCGTAGT